TAAAAGAGACAAATACTATGCATTCTGCAGAACCCATTTAAACACCCTCACCTGACATCTAGGAAGCCTTCCCAACTTCCCAAGGAGGGACCTCAGTTCTGGTTGAGCCCCCCACCCCCATCCCTCCCTTTACCCCAGCCCTGACCATTGGGACCTCAGAGGGTTCTGGTGGGCCTCCTACCACTTCCCCAAAGTTGGGAACCTTCAAGTCTCCAGCATAGCCTGAACCTGGCTGCTCACCGGTGGGACAGCAAAAAAAAAACAACAACAAAAGAACCCCACTGGCTTCATTAACGAGTCTGGTCCAATGACCTCATTATAAAGGTGAGTAAACTGAGGCCCAGAACGAGGTCTTAAGAATCTCAAGGTTACTGAGGCAGTGGGCGCTAGAACAAGGCGTAGAGCTCCCCATATTCCTGGATGGAAGGAAACGTGTGTGTGACTTTTCCAGGGGGTGTGGGGCTCACTGCCAACAGTGGCAGGGAATCGAGGCTCTGAGGTCACCCAAGAGCCCTAGCCTGCGGGAGGGGACAGGCCTGGCTGGTGGCCCAGCAGCTCTTCTGGGAGGGCGGTAGGCAGAGGTTGGCGATGTTGGAAGCCAAAGGCTTGGCCTCCCCGAGGGAGCCGCTTTCCCGGCCCGGGTCGGATCAATGGGCTGTAATTATACCGCACCGGGCCCGGAGCTGGCGGGGAGGGAGCGGGAGCTGGCAGGAGCTGGGAAGCTGGAGGGAGAGCGCAGGCGGAGAGGTACCCACGTTACTTTGATTGACAGCCCTGGAGGGCGCCGCGCAGGAGCTTCTGGGGAACGTAGTCTTTCCAAGAAGCCCGGCTCACTTCTCCCCTTCCGATTGTGTTCGGGTAAACTGAGGCACGGGGACGCGCAAGACCCCCACCCCGGCCTATATGTCGGCCCATCCCTCCCCCATCTGACTTGGAGACAAAAACTGAGCGGTGCTAGAAGCCTGTAGGCTTCGGTGATAGTCTCAGCTCTTTCCTGAGAGGTCTAGCGTGGTTTAATGTCTCTCTACCTCAGTTTACCTACCGGTGAAATAGGGCGAAAAGGGCCCAGTCGGCCCTCTCAGGTGGCCGGGATGAAGGGCTCTTATTTTTAAAAGGAGACCCATCAGGTTCAGGGGGTAGCTCGCTTTTCCCTTTTAAGATACTAATGGAGCCGAATCCCCCTCCTACCGGGCTGGGCTTGGACATCCACGAGGGTCCCAGCTTCTCTGAGGGCGGAGGGAGCCACACTCTTCACACCCCGCTTTTGCCTCGCCGCCTCCCGATTGGCCCAACCCATCTTAGTTCCTCCTGCCATTGGTTGCCAGTTCCCCAATTTCCATTCGCCAGAGCCCATGGTGACGTCACGGACCCATGTGGGATCACTGTGGATGGATTGGCTGGCGCGCCCAGCCAACCACCGCAGAGAAAGGAATTTCCACAGTAGCCTGGGCTGTGAGGCTGATTTAAGGTGGTCTGAGCAAAATGGGGTCCCTGCGCTCCTTCTCGGTTTTTTCCTTTCACACACACACGCACACACACACTCACGCACATCCACCTCATAAAAAAACCCAAGCAGGAACTGGAGCTGAGACTTTCTGTACAGTGAGACGGAAGAGATCAGAAGTTAAGCCCCTCCCCCTATTTCGTAACTTCTTCCTGAATTTTGCTGATGGGGAAACTGAGGCCCAGAGAGGTGGAGCTTGAAGCCATAGGGCAGACGAGTTAGCTCCACAAATGAGAAGGTTGTGCTATGCTGCCCAGGCTGTAACTCACACCTGGTGAGGCTTTTCCCTGCCTCCCGCTCTAGCTTAATGTTGGATTCCAGAGAGTTACAGGGTAACAGGCAGCCTAGAGACCCCTTAATCCCCCTCCCCCATCTCACAGACTGCTCTCGTCTGAGCCTCCCCAAATTTTCAAAACTGTTCCCAAGCTGAGGATGCTACTGCTTAGAGAAAGAAAAAAAAAAAAAAGTCTCCTCCTTGTGTGTGGTCTTGTGGCTTCTCAGGCAATCCACAAGTCTGTATTTACACTCTCCTGTGGAGTGTGCCTGGCTGAGAGATCTAAAGACTTGTGGGTAAAGGTCCCCTCCTCCAGGAAGCCCCCTTGAATCCACCAGGCAAAGACTCGTTCTGGCTCTGGGTTCCTTAGGCCCTGGGTCTGCCCCTCCGTATTGGCATCAACTCCACAGACACGGGAGTGCGTCCTAAGCTTGGTCTCCTCCCTAACCCACTTGGGAGCCTTCCTGACAAAGCCTGGGGCTAGGTCTCTTCTAGGGCCCCAGAATCTTCTATCATGAGGAGGTGGTTCTAGGATAATTACCCACTTATCCATCAACTTTAAACAGTCTGTTTAATGTGTGTGTGGAGGGGAAGATGCCTTTTGGTGGAGATGTCTGGAAGGGGGTGTCTTTTGGGCCAGGCCTTGAAGGAATGGATTTTGTCCAAGCAGAAAAAGTTCTGAGGGAATTTGAGGAAGAGATAAGCAAAGGCCCAGAGTGGGAAAGAACACAAGATTAGGCGATCTGGCTGGTGCAGCTGGAGCAGAGGGAGTGTTTGAAGTGGTGGAGGGAGAAGTTGTGCCAGGCCAGGAGGTGAAGGGCATCCGTGCTAACCTGAAGAGCTGGAAACTTGTCCCAAGGTCAACAGGAAGCCACGAGAGGGCCTTAAGTGAAGGAGGGCCAGACTCACATGGAAGGTGACAAGAGGAAGGCTGCTCAGAGCAGGGAGCTGGCCTGAGGTCCACTGGGAGACGATGAAGGGCTGGTGCAGGCAGACGGCTGTGGGACGGGGAGCAGGTTGCATGGCAGGTGATGGCGGAAGAGGCTGGGCTGATACTGTCTTGGGGGATCAGGGTGGACTGTGGGGCCTAACGGGTCTGGGAAGATGCTCTTTTTAGAGACTTGGGGGGCATCCAGGGGAGATGCCCAGTTGGTGGCTGGGTCTCAGAGTAGGGAGCAGGGATAGAGCCAGAGCTTAGCGCCATCCTCATGAAAGTAGTCAAGAGGGCGTGGAGGCAGGGGGAGGAAAGGCTGCCTGGAAAGGTTTTTAAATGGGGTCTTCACAGACCTCACCCCCCCACCCGCCTCCCGCCCACCCTGAGCCAGAAGCACTGTGGGATCGTGGAACTCCCTTTTTCTTAGTATTTCCCAGCAGCAGTGTGGACGGTGTGGATTGCTGCCTTTAGCTACATCAGCTGTTTCTTCTCATCCTTATGCTTGTTTATTTATTGAGCATTTACTGTGTGCCAGCTCTGCAGGGACCAAGACAGACTTTGTCCACACACAGCTTAGTACTAGGAGGAGACAAATAGCGACTAGAACAATCCAGGAAGAAACACGATCATGTCAAAAACAAAACAAACCCTGTTAGGGCCTGGAAAGAGAGCGAATAGGACGCAGTATTTGAAAATGACAAGGTGACCGCTGCTTAAATGGGTGGCCAGTGGGGGCCTTTCTGAGGAGGTGACATTTGAGGTGAGATTTGAATGACAGAGAAGCAAGGGAACAGTGTTCCAGGGAGAGGGAAGTCAGTTCAAAGGTCCTGAGGCAGGACTGTGCCTGGTGAATTGTAGGAACAGTAAGGAGAGGGGGTCAGTGTGGCTCAAGCAAAGTGAATGAGGGTGAAAGTGAAGGAATCAGGGAGGGGAAGACCAGGAAGAGTTTGTGCAGGGCTTTGTTGGAGGAGGGGGGAGTACTTTGATAGCAGTAGGGAGCCACGGAATACCTGCTTAGACACATGTGCACTCACCAGATCTCTCCTCCTTCCCCTCCCATGGATTTCTGTCTTTATCCTTCAGGTCTCCTCTCCAATGTTAACCTTCTTAGAGAGGCCTCTCCCAGACACCCCTGATAAATAGGTTCCCTCTTGTCTACTTCTGCCACTGCTCCCTAAATCCTTCCTTTGTGTACACAAATAATTCCATAATTACCAAGCTGTGATCTTTTCTGTTCCCTTTCATCCATCCCTATATTCCTCATGCCTAAAGGATGTCTGGCATATAGTAGGTGCTCAATAAATTTGTTGGCTGGAAAGTGATACAAGTTCGATAAAGACTTTTGTATGCTTTCACTTATTCACCTACTAACATAGGTGTAGACAGTAACAAGGGGCAAGAGTTTTTCTCTGTTTTGTTCCCTCCTGAGCCCCAGAGCCTCGAGCAGTGTCTGGTCCACAGTAGGCACTCTACATGTTTGTTGATTGACTTAATGAATGACCTCAAGGCTTCTCATACAAAAGATGGGAGTAAGAATCGCCCACCCACCTCCCAAGTGAATGTGAAGGACACTCACTGGATGTCTCAGGTCTGTGGTGGCGAGTGGAGCGCTTGCCCTTAGGTACCTCAATCTGATGGCAGAGATTCAGTTTCATTCTCACTGGGACTTGGAATTCTAGGACCCCACAGCCTGAGAGGGTAGACAGACCAGTCTGCTGGTGGTGAAGTCAGAACACCAACTTCCACCTCTGGGAGCTTACTGTGTGCCATGCCAGGCTGAGGGCAGTGCATGTACCATCTCATTTAAAAATAGCCCCTGACCCTGCCATTTTCAGAGAATACTGAAGCCCAGAGTGGGGGTGAACCTGGATCTGCCCAGCACCTCCTTCCCTCCTCTGGGCCTTTGCATGGGTTATTATTCTCTTTCCCCCAGGGGAAGGCTTCCCTGCCAGCACTTGGCAAGGCCGCTTCCACCTGATCCTTAAGTCTTAGCTCACGTCCTCAGAAAGGCCATTTCTGACCACAAACAGCTCCTCTCCCCACCTTGGGCCACCAGGTATTTGTTTCCCTGCTTCTCCTCTCTCATGCTCTCTGGGAGGGAGAGGGAGGTCGATGTGTGTGGGATTGGACGCGAGGCTCAGTTTCCTACCCGGCACTGGTCAATGGAAGGGGGTGGGTTCCGGGGACCAAGGCCGGTGGTTGGGAGGGCGCTGGGTGGGCGGCTAGTGGGCTGTGTGGGCGGGCCCCGGGGGCGGCGGCGCCACCTTAAGGCGGCTCTGCCCGCGGCTCCCGGCCGAGCCCCGCTGGAGGGAGGCGGCTCGGAGCCGGGCCCGCCGCCCGCGCCTCAGACACCCGGCCGCGGCTCGCCGACCTTCTGCGACCGCCGCCCCGCGCCCCTGCCCAGGGGAGTGGGCCTCGGCTCCCCTCTTAGTCCCCGCGACCTTTCGCGCTAGCTCGGGGGACGCGGGGGACTCCGGGGTCCCCCGCCCTGCGCCGCCTCGGCTCCTGGCTTCTTTCTCCGGGCTGCCCCCCACCCCCAGCCTCTCTCCCCCACAACCCGCACATTGTCACGTTCCGGCGCGAAGTGGGCTTCCCGGATCGGCAGGATGTACCCCCAGGGAAGGCACCCGGTGAGTAGGGTCCTGGGCTGCGGGGGTGGGGGGCCCGGGCGCCCGGGAACTCAGACCCTGACGTCCCCCCCAGGCCCCACTTCAGTCGGGCCAGCCCTTCAAGTTCTCGATCTTGGAGATATGCGACCGCATCAAAGAGGAATTCCAGTTCCTGCAGGCTCAGTACCACAGGTGAGGGGGGCGGGGCGCCCCGCCCGGGGGACCCGGAGTTCACCTGCGAGCTCACCTGGGAGCCTGCGGAGAGGGACGGGGCCCCGGGGCGAGGGGCGGGGCCAGGCCAGACGAGGGCATCTTGGGTGCGGGGAGAAGGGAGGACCCCCGGGGTTGAGCGGAGGGCTTCCAGGTGGAAGCCAGGCGAGGCGGATGGGGACACTTGGTGCTGGGGCATTTTGAGGGGGGAGGGACTGGGACGGGCGGGGGGGGGGGGGCTGAGTCAAACCCATCACTTTGGAAACTGACCCAGATGGGTGTCCGCGGGTCTCCCTTGGGGGAGGCAGAGAGTGGGGTCCCCATGCCCTGTCTCCTTCCCAGTCTCAAGCTGGAATGTGAGAAGTTGGCCAGTGAGAAGACCGAAATGCAGCGACATTATGTCATGGTGAGGGGGTTGGCATGCGAGCGTGGGAGGAGTGGGAAGCGAGGCTCTGGGTGTGAATCCGGACTGAGTGTGCCTCTCTGGGGTACATCCTTGCTCCTTCTAGGGCCTCATTCTCCCTCTCCATTGAGTGGGCTGCTTGGGATTCCAGGCTTTCTCCCAGATCCTCCCAGCTCTTAAGAACAAGGATGGCCCCTGTCCTTATGGGTGTCTCTGAGGGGTCGGGCTCCCTGGACACCACCTGCCTCACCTCCCTGGAGAGTGGAGGGGCCCTGCTTCCCTCTAGGGGGTTCCATGGGGCTGAGGTGATCTGTGTCCTTCTGTGATCACCCCAGCCTGGGGACTCCTGGAAGACCCAGAGCCGCCCAGCCCAGGGCTGAACATCCAGCTGCACAGTGGATGTTCCAACTGGCTTTTCCTTTGCAGTACTACGAGATGTCTTATGGGCTCAACGTTGAAATGCATAAGCAGGTAACTGTGTTGGGTGTTTGGTAGGGAGGGAGGGGTCGGGAGGCTGTGAGAGGGACCCAGCACCAGGGCAGTCTGGGGCTAGGCAGGTCCAGGGAACAGGGGTCTTTCCCTGAAATCTCTGCGACCAGGGAGCCAGATTTTAGTCTTGGGATAGAAAAATGATTCTGAAATTCTGGAGACTTTGTCCTACAGCTAAAGTGATTGTCCAGCAGAGAGGGGGCAGTGAGCCAGGGCCAAGTGTCCGTGTCAAGGAAGGTTCAGAGCAGAGGCCAGCAGCCGGGTCAGGGAGGCTGTGGAGGTGACTTCCGTCCTGGGGTGGGCCAGATGGACTGTGCTGGAGGTCCCTTTCACCCTGGCAAAGCTGACATGTGGACCCTCAGGGTCTGAGGTGACCCCAAGCCTCTGTCAGTGTTGTGAGGGGTCTGAGGCCGACTCCAGGGCTCTGAAGGTCTGAGACTCTCTTACTCTTCTGAAAGTGATTTCAAGGTTCTGAGTTAGAACCGAGAGTTCTGAAACTAACAGTTGTTCAAGCTTGACTCTGAGGTCCTGAGACTGACCTCAAGGTTCTTTGATGGCCTCTGATAGGATGGAGATTCTGAGGTTGATGGAATCTTAGATTCTCTCCAACAGAGTATCAGAGTCAATGGGTGGAGCCTAGTGTGAGGTCTTCTGGGTGGGCGGGCTGGGAGTGTAGGGCAGGTGGGAGGCCGTCCTGGCATGCTTTTCCAGAAGTGTGTGTGGGTTCTGGTCTGGGCAGGAGGGAAGGTGTCTTTCTGGAGCATGATGCAGTCCCATGGGTGTATGAAACAGACCTCCGTGTGGGGTGGCGGGCATGGGGTAGGGCTCAGGTTTTGGGAGGCTGGTTCTGCCCTCCTGGTGGGAACACCCGTACCCCTGACACATACAGTACACAGCACCCCTGAAACCCAGGCAAGGGCAAAGCACAGGCTGACCGAGTACAGACCTGGACATGCCACCGCCACCCCCTTCCCCACCCACACAGCCGCCCCTCTGTTCAGCTTTAATAGGGTACCCCCAGCCCAAACCCTGTCCAGATGAAACCTACAAGTAAAACCACTCTCTTTTCACTCTATACTTCCGACACTAAGTGTGGGTTTTCTGCACACCAGCCAATTCTCCAACTCTGACACCACCGGCGTGTCCTGCAGTCCAGCTCCACTTTGACACTCCCTGCCCAGAGTCTGCAGACCCCACAGGTTTGGGGCTCAGCCCTGCAGGGCAGCCCTCTCTTTAGATGCCAACTGCAAGTCTGGACCACCAGTACTTCTGACCAATTAGCTATAAATTGAGGGGTTTCCACCACTTCCTCCATGGGTCCAATAATTGGTAAAATTGCTCACAGAACTCAAGAAATCTCTTACTATTACCTGTTTATTATAAAGGGGGTAGTTCAGGAAGAGCTACAAGGAAAGATGTGCAGGGCGAGCTCTGGGCAAGGGCTCAGAGCTTCCACGGCCTCTCCACGGCTCCACCCTCCCAGCACCTCTGCATGCTCACCCACCCAGAAGCTCTCTGTACCCCGTCTTTTAGGGTTTTTTCAATCTCACAGTTATTTAATCTGCACATGTTACAGAGAACCCCCTCTACCCCTCCCAGCCCCCCACAGTCCTTGGGCCCCTAAATCAGCCCAAGGAGCTGCTAGGAACTAGATAGAGGTGGCTGGGTCCTCAGGCACACTAAGCTGTGCCCAGGGCCAAGAGTGACAGCAGCTGCCTGACCTTCGAGGAGGAGCTGACTGTCGGGGGGGCTGAGGGCCAGCCACCCTCAAAGGTGGCTCAGAGCCATGGAGGTCAGAGGGAGGGGCCCCTGCCTGGCCCTGGAGTGCTCTTCCACGCAGGGTTGGCTCTGGGATAGTGAGAAGAGGCAGGCCAGGGAAGAGAGCCTGGGCAGGCAGCAGCTCCCATGGTGTCATGGGGAGTGAGGTCTGGAGTGGCTAGCCACACTGCCAAGAGCCTTCAGAAGCACTACGGGTGGAACATGGCAGAGGCCAGGACATTGAGCAGCAGGGTAAAGCTGGCCAGACCCAGAGTGGCGGTCAGAGGGAAGGAGGGCCAGTACTGGGTCTGGTCGTACCACAGAAGCAGGAGCAGCAGGAGAGGCTGCCTATTTCCAACCAGGCAAGGGGCCTGGTTCTGACCCTGGTGGGCATAGGGGGTTAGGGGGACCAGCCCATGTGGACATGTGGCAGTAGGGAACACAGTAGGAAGGGGGGTGAAGACTGTTAGGGTCTGGGTGCCATCTCCCAGTAGCTGCCCTTGGTAAGTGAGTTGTGCCTACTGCTGCCAGCCAGCAAATCAGGTCATTTTCAGGGAGCCAGTGGTGTCATGGGGCCAGGCCCTGGCCACCTGCTTTAATCATTGAGGAATTTCAGCCTCAGTTCTAGGGATTCCTGGGCAGGGGGAGTCCAGGGGTGGCAGCTTTGCCGTGAGCCCTATGCCAGGCTCTGGTTGTGCAGCCTCTGTATTTTGGGCTGGGGGCCTTGGCTCCTGGGACCTCCTCTATGATGATGCTGTTGGTGGCCACCATTGCTTCGCTGTGCTGTGCTGGTGTTGGGGGTCCCTGATGCCTGGGGCAGTGGATCAGCACCCTCTGAGGTGTGTATTGAGACCAGGTGAGAGCCAACATCAGAAGGCAAGCAAGCACCTCGAAAAGGACTGTCATCACCCACCCCTTCAATGAGGGCCATGGCCCTCACCTTTCCTCGCCATACTACCGAGTGCCCAGCTTGGCCAGCTCCACAGCAAACTCTGGGGCACTTCTGTGCCGGAGACGTCGTGGTTGACGGCGTGGTGGTCGCAGATACCAGGAAGCACCTACTCTGTCTCTACCACCCAGAGGCTTCAGTACATAGATGTGATTGATTAGATCACTGGCCATCTGTGACTAACTTGGTCCAGTCCCTCTTCCTCCTCGGAGGTCAGGGGATGGGGCTGAAAGCTGCAGTCCTTGAATAAACTCAAGTGTGGTTGAAAGGGGCTTATTATAAGTAATCAAAGATACCCCCTTCACCCAGAAACCCCAAGGGTTTCAGGAGTCTACGCCAGGAACTGGGAACAAAGACCAAGTATGTATTTGTTGTATCACATCGCAACACCCTCCCCCCGCGTGTGCTACACTGGCTGCAGCCCCAGGTTGCAGATGAGACCCAGAGAAGGACATGGGCCCAGCCAGGGCTCCGACCTGGAACTCCAGCAGAGGCTCCCCACCCAAGGTCCCTCCCCATTCTTCCTGCCAGGCCGAGATTGTGAAGCGCCTCAGCGGCATCTGCGCTCAGATTATCCCATTCCTCACCCAGGAGGTGAGTGGGCCTGGTGCAGGTGGGAGGGGAGCCGCAAGAATGCTGAACGGGGTGGGAAGGGTTGTATGCCGCAGGCACTGGTTCTGCTGAGTGGCTGAAGGGCCTGGGCACTGGCTGGGGCACGGGCTTCCGAGATGGGCGGTGGCTGAGGGTGAGGAGTGGGGCTCAAGCCCTGTGCCAGGCTGCCTGGGTCTGAGTCCTGGCTGTGTGCTGTGGCCTTGGGCAAGCTGCTTGTGCTCTCTGTGCCTCTGTTGTTAAGTGCAGAACAGCTGATACATAGAAGGTGATGAGGACAATGCTGGGTGCTTACTCAGCAGCCAGCATAAAAGTGAGCACTTACATTATGCTCCATGAAATAAGGCAGACATCGAAGGACAGACACTGTGTGGTTCTACTCACAGGAGGTCCCTAGGGGAGCCAGATGTACAGTGGCAGGAGTTGTGGGAGTTGCACCGGCCACGTTTCAAGTGCTCTGTAGCCACACGTGTCTGGTGGTTTCTGTATCCAGCAGCAGATAGAGAGATTTTAATCATCACATCACAGAAAGTTCTCCAGCACCGAACGCTGAGTATAGCACAGCCACATTGTGGATGAGGCTCACAACGTAATGTTGAGTGAAGAAAGCCAGACACAAAAGAGAACATAGAATTGAGACAAAATAGTTCCACATGGACAAATTCAGGCAGGTTTGGGAAGGCAGCCGTAGGTGGGAACACCACACAGAAAAACGAGAGAGCCTTGTGCGGAAGGGAGGCGGGGAGGGAAGCAGGGCATTGCAGCAGGCAGCTGGGGACGGGGCCTCCCAGGCACTGCCAATGTGTATTTTCTGACCTGGGTGGTTGGCGTATGGGTGCTGATTTATACAGTGGTTCTTTACTGAGGGTGACCCTGTCCCCAGGGAACACTGGGCAATATCTGGGGAGATCTGTGGTTCTCACTCCAGAGGTGGTCCTGGCATGCAGTGGGTGGGGCCAAGGATGCTGCTTAACACCCCATAGTGCCCAGGACAGGCCCACAGAGTATGGTCCAGCCCTGGTGTCAGCAGTGCCGAGGGGAGATCCCAATTTATAAGCCCCAATTTATAATTATTAGTTTTAACTGCACTTAAAAAAAAAAGATTTTACTTATTCATTTTTGGAGAGAGGGGAAGGGAGGGAGAGAGAGAAGGGGAGAAACATCAGTGTGTGGTTGCCCCTTGAGTGCCTCCTACTGCGGACCTGGCCTGCAACCCAGGCGTGTGCCCTGACCGGGAACGACACCGGTGACCCTTCGGTTCTCAGGCCAGCACTCAATCCACTGAGCCCCACCAGCCAGGGCTTAACTGCACTTATCTGCTTTGTTTCTTTTTCTGTTTCCTAATTTTGAAAGGAAAGGGAGAGATGGGTAGAAGTGAAATACCAAGTGCCGGAGCAGGGATGAGGGTAGGAGAGGAGTGCGGGCCCCACAGGGCATTGCCTGGGCAGATGGGGGCTCCCAGCAGTGAAGGGGGTCTCTTGAGCACCCCCTTTTCCATATCCCCCACCTCCTAGCATCAACAGCAGGTGCTACAGGCCATGGAGCGTGCCAAGCAGGTGACTGTGGGGGAGCTGAACAGCCTCATTGGGGTGAGTCTCTTGGCCCCTGCCCTGCCCTGGGGAGACCCCACTCCTAGATCCCCGCAGCAGTAGGTGCCAAAGCTGGGGGTGCTGTGTGGGCAGCCGGCCTGGGTGGACCCTGTCCCCACTCTCAGTGGCCTCTTGGGCCAGGGGTACTACTGGGCACCCGACCCCCCCACCTGCCCCTGGCCCACCCCTGCTCCTCTCTAGCAGCAGCAACTCCAGCCGCTGTCCCACCACGCCCCCCCTGTGCCCCTCACCCCTCGCCCGTCTGGGCTGGTGGGTGGCAGTGCCACGGGGCTGCTGGCCCTGTCCGGAGCACTGGCCGCCCAGGCTCAGCTGGCCGCGGCTGCCAAGGAGGACCGGGCAGGTGTGGAGGCCGAGGGGTCTAGAGGTAAGTGGGCAGTGCAGGGTGGCATTGGCTCAGGGGTGTGGTGTGGTGGTGGAGGACTGGCAGGCCGCCCTGCTCAGAGCACCAAACTCACACAAGTGTGAGGGAATGGAAAGGGGGCTGCAGGGCCCCTTTACTTCCAACTAGCTGTGTGTCCTTGGGCAAATTACTGACCCTCTCTGAGCATTTATCTGTTTGGTATGGGGAAGGGATAATCCACTCCTTGCTAGGGTGTTGGAAGGAAAAGGGAGATTCCAAGCTGGGAAGAGGGCTTTATAAACTGTAGAGGGATGTGCCACGTCTGGCACCATGGACCATGAAACCTTCATTCTTTTTCCTTTTCTCTCACTCCTTCGCCCCCAACCCAGCAGTGGAGAGAGCCCCAAGCAGGGTAAGTTGAGGGACATCCAGGGATTTGCCCTCTTACCTAACATCTGCTTTGTATTCCTGTGTGGCTAAAGCCGTTTGTTTTGAGTTTGTTCTTAGCCCCTGAATAGGGGCTGCATCCAACTTTCAAGCTGTTTTGGCCAGGAGATGCCCATAGGCTAAGTTTTATTTATTTAAGTTTTAAATCTTGAGCTATTTTTGCAATTGAATAAATGAATACATGTCTCTGGTAGCATTCTTCCATCCTTCTATTTATTAATTTATCCATTATCCAATTAATAATAATATTTACAAGAGTACTACCAAATAGAAATACCATGTGAGCCCTATATGTAATTTCTTAAAAGACAATTTTGAAGTAATTAGATGTACAGGAGGTCCCAGAAAAATGTGCAGGGAGGCCCAGGGTACTCCTCACCTGACTTCCCCCAACGACAAAAACTTACAAAACTAAAACACAGCATCAAATCTGGGAAATTTACATCAGTACAACCCACTGTGCTTTTTCAAATTTCACAGTTTTATGTGCATTCACTGTGTGTGTGTTTGTGTGTGGTTCTTTGCAACTTCATCATGTTTAGCCTTGTACCCATAGCTCCACAATCTCCTACGCAATTGTAAATTTCCTAGTAGCTACATGAAAAAAGTTAAAAAGGTGACATTAATTCCAATAATATATTTTACTTAATGCAATTTATCCAAAATGTTTCAACATGATAGCAACATAAAAGTTATAAATAAGATATTTCACCTTACTTTTATTGAACTAGGACTCTCAGATCCAAGTGCATTTTGTACTTACAGCTCATCTCAACTTGCACTAGTGTCCCCTAAGGGACACTGGACAATGTCTGGGGACATTCAGAAGGTCCCATTTTCCAGGCATGTTGCTTGATTCACAGATCCTAATGACAGCAGCAGGGATACTCAGGCTTGGCTGGGCCAGGATGCAGTCTGGGGCCCAGGTCCTGATCCTTCTTCCTGCCTGGCTCCTATCTCTCCGCAGAGTGCATCCCCCTCGCCCCCTGAAAGTGTGGTGGAAGAGGAGCAACCGGGTGGCCCAGGTGGCAATGGGAAGCAGCAGCAAGCTGAGGAAAAGGATCTGTCAGGACCTTACGTGAGTAGGGGCAAGACAGGGACTGGGGTGGGCACATGTGGCTTGGAGCCAGTTGTGTCCATGACTCTCTCACTCCAGAGGCTTCCATAACTCCCCATTGCTCATGGAGCACTGGCCAATCAGAAGAGACCCTATGGAGCCAGGCTTAATTCTTTAGACACTTACGTCTGGCCCACACTATTTTCCCACCTCCTGGCTTTTGCTCCAGCTGTTCCCTTACCCTAGAACCTCTTTCCCCCTGTCTCCCAGAAACCAGTTTCTCCATCAAGGCACACACAAAAAATTGCTCTCTCCTGCGGGAAGCTGTCCCTGACCCCTCCCTGGAAAGCTGGGACCTCCTCTCTCATTGTCAGAGGGATTGCTGCTTCTGTACTTTCAAACTCTAGTGCCCCAGGGGTCATGCTGAAAGTGAGGCTTGGGACCCTGGCCAGCTGGAGGGCACTTGTCCCATCTAGATGGGCAGCTGCGACCTGGTGCTAGCTGTCTAGTGAGCCCAGTCTTGCTGTTTCTCAGAGAAGCCTTTAATCTTTTTTTAAATTAAATATGATAGCTTGTTTTATAAATACCACCAACTAGTTTTGTTTTAAAGAAGAAAAGAAGAAAACTAGGGATAAGGGAGTCAAAGAAAACCCACCCACTGGGTGGATGTGGCCTCCAGGCTGCAGCCTTTGGTCTTCTCTTGGTTTCCAGCCAAACAAGGAGGCAGCCCAGAATGTATTTCTCCCGGGGGGCAATGGCAAGCCATAGAAGGGTGTAGAGCAAATGTGGGAATAGGTCTTAGGAACATCTCTCTGGAGCTTGGAGGTCTACCTGGAAGGGGCAAGGCTGCAGGCCAGGAAACCAAGGAGGGGATAAGATCTGCACTGGGGCCATGGGGATGGGAGTGGGTGGGCACATGTTTGGGTGAAAAGGAGGTATGGATGACTCCCACCCCCTCCCCCACTGCACAGAGGAGGAAACTGAGGTTCAGGGAGGGCTAGGAGGCACTCAGGGCCACACAGCAAGTTGTGGGCACTCAGCACAATCTCCTTCATCCTTTTCCAGGAGTGACCCACCCTCTTCACCCCTCTACTCCGTACCTCCCACCCCCAAGCCCTTCCTTGCACTGAGCAAATGCACCTTCCCTTCCAAACCAAGCAAATGGGCTGCTGTAGCCTCGGAATTCCCGTCCAACCCAGGACCTGCTGGTGCACACTCCCCTTCCTGAGTAGATAGATGTAAGGGAGTGTGGAGGCAGGGGCCTGGCCAGGGCAAGCTCTGTCCTCCATGTTCCCCCAGGAGAGCGACGAGGACAAGAGTGATTACAACCTGGTGGTAGATGAGGTGAGTTGAGGTCCAGCCTCCACCACTTCTGACGTCCAGGACTCAGAGGCAGAGGCAGAGAACTGGACATGGAGCAAGTGGTGGGTTTTTTGGGGTGTGGCGGGCCCAGAGGGAGTGGGGTTACTGGACCCCTCTCTCTGGGATGGCTGGGCCAGGGGAAGCGGGGGTCACCAGACACTTCAGGCCAACATCCCTCCACAGCATGGTGGCGAAACGGAGGGCCAGGACACTGGAGATGAGTCGCAGCAGTGGCTTCAAGCCCTGGCTCACTGTGTGACTTTGGGGGAGTGGCCCCTCTTTCCCTGGCTTATTCTTCCCCATCTTTCCAATGGGAAGAAACAAAACCAAGCCTTTATAAGTCATTGCTGCTTGTTCTTATAGAGCAGGTCCCCTCATTAAACCCATTTCACAGATGAGTAAACTGAGGCACAGGAGGTTTCATAATCCTCCCAAGGTGGGTTGCAGATGTCCTATCTAGAGGTTGGGGTGGGGTGCTGGAGGACTACAGAGAGGGGCTGCTATTGTCATCCACTTACCCCACTCAACATCACCTCCTCAAACCCAGGACCAACCCTCAGAGCCCCCCAGCCCAACTGCCACCCCGTGTGGAAAGGCCCCCATCTGCGTCCCTGCCCGTCGGGACCTTGTGGAAAGTCCAGCCTCCTTGGCCTCCAGCCTCAGCTCACCGCTTCCCAGATCCAAGGAGCTCATCCTGGTAAGGAATAGGGGAGGTCTTGAGACTCACTTTGTTCACCCTGGGGGCCTGGAAACAGATACTATGCCACTAGATATGGGCAATGAGAAACTGGCCAGGCTGATGTGGCCCAGCGTGCCCTTCCAGATTATTTGGCCACCTTCTTAAAATCCTATTCAGGTAATTTTTCCTAAATAGACTCCATCTGTTGCACCTAAATAAACATTAAAAGGAAATTTTGTAAGTAAACTTTGTAAATACATATTAAGAGGCAACTCACCATCTTGTGGGGAAGTCAAGTATCTCCTATCTTATTTATCTCTCAATAAATAAGTCCCCTGAAAATAAGCATTGAAACTCAGAATGGGCCACTCCCAAGTCAGACTGCAGTCCTGCCTTTGAGAGGCATTGAAGGCATACCAGTCCCAACCTGAGATGCTGTCCCCACCAGGAACCAGGATTAATATCAGAACAGCTTTCTTCTCACTTCTTCCCAGGTTTAATACCAGGTATAGAGACCACTTAAGAGTATTCCCCTGGGAGAAATCTCTCTTTTTTTTTTTTTTTTTTTTTAGATAGAGAAGGGAAGGGAGAAAGGAAGAGAACATCAATGTGTGGTTGCCTCTCATGTGTCCCCCACTAGGGACCTGGCCTGCAACCCAGGCATGTGCCCTCACTGGGAATCGAACCAGCAACTCTGGTCTGCAGGCCAGCACTCAATCCACTGAGCCACACCAGGCAGGGCCCCTGGGGGAATTCTTAATTCAGCTTTATTTGTCCCCTCTCCCCCAAGTCTTCCCCAGACCCTTGCCCTGAACCTACCTGGGAGATTGCTTCAATTTCTAGGCCTACCCTCCCAGTATGTTGCTATGGCAACCATTAAGGTTGGGGTTCACTTTGTTTCTCATGTGCCCTCATCCCACCTCAGATCAGAGGAGTGGGGCAGCTCTGTTCTATTGGAGAAGCCTCCTGTCCACACGTCCCTGCCCACTCCCTCTCCTGGTGTGAGTCTGGCAGTCACAATATGTGTCATTTTGTGATGGAAAGCTAAGATGTAACTGTCACGACAAAGATGTGAAGTCTCTTAAAAGGCAAAGTGGGCAATGGTATAAAGCCGAGACAGCACAGTGTGCTCCTATGTGGAGGTCTGGCTTCCCCTCTTCTCCAGTGTCCCCACGGGGAGGAATAGCTGTGGGGGACATCCCCCTCCCTGTGGGAAGAAGGAAAATACTAGATTCACTGTTCCTTCATCTGGGAAAATGCTGCCTATACTCCGGTGTCATGAGCTCATTCCAGAGTTTCCCATCCCTTGTACCCAGGTGATCGGACAGCCTCTAACTTTATCAGTTGCCTCCTTCTGGGGTCCTCCATTCCCTGCAGGGCATGCCCTTCTGTGGGGCTGCTGTGCACCATTCTGTCTACACCTGCATTTGTGACAGTGCATCCACACTGCACACCTTATCATATGCACGCACAGTCCTCACTATACACGTGCGTGTTGGTTCTTTTTGCCGTGCATATGTGTGTATACACCCACATGCCCGCCTGGCATTCCAATGTGTGCAGATAGTCATGTGTTCCTGTGCCCAGGGGGTCAGCTGTGGGTCCCGTTCTCCTGGTGTGTGCACGTCTAAAAGTGTCTGAAAGCAGAGAGGTACACTGCCAGTGCGGCCACCTACCACAGGCCCGGCCTCCCACTCCCTTCTCCCATCCATTTCTGACCAGACCCTTGGCCTGCAAGGCACCAGGTGCCTGGTGGTGTTCAGTCCTGCCTTTCCCCCCCAGAATGATCTTCCCGCTAGCACTCCTGCCTCCAAGTCCTGTGACTCCTCCCCGCCCCAGGATGCATCCACCCCGGGGCCCAGCTCGGTCAGTCACCTCCGCCAGCTCACTGCCAAGCCAACGCCTTCCACAGACAGTATTGGTGAGTACCCACTGGTCCCTGCTGGAGCAGGTCTCCTCTCTGGGGGAGTTCTAGAAAGTGACAGGGGATGGGCGAGGCAGGAGGTTTGGATTCCAGCCCTAGCATTGCCTTGGTCCTTTTCATGACTCTGAGTTGGATGCCATCTCACTCTGGCCCTTGGTTTTCTGTGTCCTGGCTTGACAGGTGGGGAAATTGAGGCTCAGAGAGGGGAAGTGACTTATTCAGGGGCTTCAGCCTAGTGCAATGGAAAGACAAGATTTAGAGTCAGACAGGCTTGGATTTAGGCCAGCCTTGGACAATTGTCAGCTGTGTGACCTTGGGCAAGGGACCCAACCTCTCTGAGCCTCAGATTCCCCCTTAGTAATATAAGGATGGCAGTGTTCTTCTTTTCTGTCTTACGGCCAGATCCTGTGCTGGCTTTGGGGTCCCAGAAAGAAATCAGCTCTGGAACCTGCCCTCAAGGAGCTCCCAGATGGTGGGAGGAGTGCCAGATCCCTAAACTCCCAGTCCTGTGTGCTCACAGCTGGGGTAGAAGGAGGGGCCAAGATAGAAGTTGGAGGCCAAGGATGGACTGGAGAGGCTCAAGGTTGTTTCTGAGACGTCGTTAGACATTGGGTCTAGATTTTGAGGGATGATTAGGGGTTTGGAAACTGCAGAAGGAAAGGGGAAGGCACATCAGCCAGAGGAAACAGCATCCGTAACTGTCTAGAGATTTGATAGAGCATGCTGAGTGCTGGGTCGGAGCATGGGACCCCGGATGACAGGCCAAGGCACTGGTACCCAAGGCCGTGGGGGGCAGGGTCTGTGTCCAGGGTGTCTGAAGACCTGCCTTCGTCTCTTCTCGCGCAGCCCTGAGGAGCCCCCTGACCCTGTCCAGTCCCTTCACCGCGTCTTTCAGCCTGGGTTCCCACAGCGCACTTAATGGGGACCTCTCTGTGCCCAGCTCCTACGTCAGCCTCCACCTGTCCCCCCAGGTCAGCGGCTCTGTGGTATATGGACGCTCCCCCATGGTGAGTCCTCAGTGTAGACGCCAGGAGGTGTCAGCAGGGACCAAGAACTGGAGGCTGGGAGGAAAAGCCAGTCACACAAAGAAAAACAAGGGGTTGGGAAAACTGGGGGCGTCCTGGCTTGGCGAGTGCATGTGGGAAGACAGTCTGAGGGTCTCAGTAGTTCCACAGTGTGATACAAATCAGCGCCTGTGCCTGTAGAAAGAGCAGCTGGTTATGCTGCATTAAGAACAGACAGCCCCGGCTATGGGGCTCCCATTCAGCCTCCTGGCAGATGCTGTCTGTTGTTAGCCCTAATTTTTAAGGGACAGTGACAACCCTGGTAGATTGCAAGGGACTAGCCTGGGGAGAGAATTGGAGGTGATGCTGCAGGAGGAGGAGTCGAGGGAATGAGGCATGAGACCCCGCGCTAACGTGGAGGGCCTGCACGGGCCCCAGAAGGCACTACGGGGACAGACGGCTGACACATCTCAATCCCCAAGTGGATCGAGATGCCTTCAGAGGCAGGCCCAATGCTGGGTGCATACTTGCAAGAGATGTCATAGAAGAGGAGTCAGCAAATGTTTTCTGTAAGGGCCCAGAGAGTAAATATTTTGGTCTCTGCCACAACTACTCCAGTCTGCCTTCATATGGCTCAGAAGCCGCCACAGACAACACATAAATGAACAAGTGTGGCCGTGTGCCCGTACAACTTCATTCACAAAAACAAGCAGGGGCTGCAGTTTCAGACTCCTGTTCCAAGCATTGGCTGGAAGACCCATCAGGATCTTTCCAACTTGGGGACTCTAGGTTCCCTGGACAGAGATCTTGGCCTTCCCTCGTGTGAAAGTCTCCGCTCTCTCAGCGGCACTGTGGGGAAGGGGCAGATAAACACACTGGGGGTCCTCTGATAAACAGAGAGGCAGATGGCAGGGGGGTGGGGGGGAGCACGGGAAAGGGCACGGGCAGGTTGGAGTCACCTGCCCTGTGACCCCCCCTTTGGCATTTTCGCAGATGGCATTTGAGTCTCATCCACATCTCCGAGGATCATCCATCTCTTCCTCCCTGCCCACCATCCCCGGGGGAAAGCCGTGAGTACCAGGCTGGGCTCCCCACTTCCTCTACGGCACTTCCACAGTGGAGTGGGGCTTGGGGTCCCCTGCTGCCTTTCCAGAAAGTCTCTTCTGTAAGCTACCAGGGGCTCCTGCCTACCTTAGGCCTACTTGCTCCCTTTTTTCTTCCTTCTCTCTGGAGAGAAAGGTAGGCAACCAGCAAAGTTTAGACTCGTGGTTCTCAATAGGGGTACATTTTGTCCCCCCCATTTCGGGACAGTTGATGATATCTGGTGATATATTTGGTCATCACGACTGAGTGCCTCCAGCCTCTAGCAGGCGAGGAACGGGGATGCTGCTCCAAGCCCACAATGCCTGGGACGGCCCCCCACAGGGAATGACCTGCCCCAAGCACCCGTGATGGGAACATTCTTCACTGGCTGCTCTGCAATCTCATTGCCATCAGCTACATGTGGCTTTTGAATGTTCGAAATGTGGCCAGTGCATCCAAGGAACTGAAATTTTTAACTTGCCACACGTGGCTGATGGCCACTGCTGGACAGCATTTTCTGGAACTCAAAGCATCTCTGTGGACAGACTTGTACTAAGTGCTTATTCCCCATGCACCAGGCCACTGCATAGATTCCTTTTCCTCTTTTGTACCACTCTGACTGCCTCACATCCCCTTTAATCATGTGGTTCCCTTCCCTAAATGTGTGGCAAAAGGGGGGGTGGCACCAGACAGGCAGAGGCACATTGCTGCCTTCTAGGAAGAGGGTGCGGAACACCCCGCATGCCCTCTGGGGTGCCCCTCCCCCCACGTCATGTCCACCTCTTGTCCAGGGCCTACTCCTTCCACGTGTCTGCGGACGGGCAGATGCAGCCTGTGCCCTTCCCATCGGATGCGCTGGTGGGTGCAGGCATCCCACGGCATGCACGGCAGCTGCACACACTGGCTCACGGCGAGGTGGTCTGCGCAGTCACCATCAGTGGCTCCACGCAGCACGTGTACACGGGAGGCAAGGGCTGTGTGAAGGTGTGGGATGTTGGCCAGCCTGGCGCCAAGACACCAGTGGCCCAGTTGGACTGCCTGGTGAGGTGGGGCACAGCAGGCACGCTCATGGGGGCGGGGCTTGCAAGTCAAAAACCAACATTTGGCATTTATAGGTCAGGCAGGGGCAGGGATTATCAGTCAGTGGGGTTGAGCTTATAGGCAAACCAGGGTCCGGCTTGTAGGTCAGTGGGGCTTGTAGGTCAGTGGGGCTTGTAGGTCAGTGGGGCTTGTCAGTCAGTGGGGCAAGACTTATATAGGTTAACCAGGTGGGGCTTATTAGCCAATGCTAGAACTTACAGAGGAATCCAGTGGGACTTGAAGTCCATGAGGCTGAGCTTAGAGGCCAGTGGGGTGGAGTTTACAGCCCAATGGGTGGAGCTTACAAGCCAATCTGAAGCTTCCCTAGAGGGAAGGTTAGGGGTTTAACCACATGCCCTTTTTTCTCTCTCCTCCCAGAACCGGGACAATTATATTCGTTCTTGCAAGCTACTGCCAGATGGTCGGAGTCTTATCGTGGGCGGTGAGGCCAGCACCTTGTCCATTTGGGACCTGGCAGCGCCCACCCCCCGCATCAAGGCCGAGCTGACCTCCTCAGCCCCCGCCTGCTACGCCCTGGCTGTCAGCCCTGATGCCAAGGTCTGCTTCTCCTGCTGCAGCGATGGCAACATCGTGGTCTGGGACCTGCAGAACCAGACCATGGTTAGGTAGGTGGCATGCGCCCTGGGACCTTGGGCAAGCCCCTGCCTCCTTTTTTGTGCTGTGGGGGCAGAGTGGCCTTGGAGGATGCTGGAGCAGCACAGACTCCAGGATGGACGCCTGGGCCCTTCTCCCTCCAGGCAGTTCCAGGGCCACACGGATGGTGCCAGCTGTATTGACATTTCTGACTATGGTACTCGGCTCTGGACAGGGGGCCTGGACAACACCGTGCGCTGCTGGGATCTGCGGGAAGGCCGCCAGCTGCAGCAGCATGACTTCAGCTCCCAGGTGCCTGCCGGTGTCCAGTGGGAGGGGGTAGAAGCTCCAGCATCGTGGCCTCCCTTCTCCCCCTAAGCCACCCACTTCCAGATGCTGGGCAGATACCTGTTATCTGTGTTCATCTTTCTTGTCCTTCAGACACAGGCCTTCCCCTTTATTCTCCAAAGACACAGGGAACCACAAAGGAGCTGATTCGTATCACACTGTGGGGCTGCTAAGACCCTCAGGTCACCTTCTCAGGTGCTCTTACCAAGCCGTTCCCCCATTCCTTTGTCTCTTCTTGTGTAGCTGGTTTCTCCACCCAGCCTTCTTTTGACCCTGCTGTGAGCTCCAGGACTCACCATGAGCGGGGAGAGCTGCAGATCTGAAGGGGAAGATAGGGACTGACTTAGGAACTAGGCACCAGGGTTGTTGAAGGCCCACTGGAAATCAAGCTGAAGGATGTTGTGAGGGAGCTGGACAGCAACAGGGGGCTTCTCAGGAGTGAGCAAAGTCAGAGACAGGGCTTGAGGTTCTCTGGACCTAGATCCTGTGTACCACGGTCTGGGGGCAGGGCAAAAGCGCCCTGGATTGTCATTTAAGTTCTCCTTAAATTCTCAAGTCTCAAACACACCATGCTGTGACACCTCTAGTTCTCTCTACTTGTTTCCTCTGGCTGACATGACTTTCCTTTCCTTCCACAAATTGGTAAACTCCTACTCATCCTTCAAAACCCATCCAGTTTGCCCCCCTCCTTGAAGCCCCTGATGCTTCTGTTCCCCAACTCTTTCTGTTCTACCTTCTTTTTAGCTTGAATGTTTTCTTGGCAGGAAAGTCAGGGGTGCAGGAGGACATAGTTGTCTGTCCTCCATCCCCGAAACTCAGATGGGTTGTATGGGATCCTGGGGTGAGTGTCCCCCCTCCTGCCTGGGCACCTGTCTCTATGTAGGAACACTTCTACATGGTCAGGAGGGGACATGTGAAACCTTCCAGTCTTCTCTCTGCTGTATATTTACAGTTCTCTCCATACACATTTCATTTGTCAGTAAGATTTCGTGAGGTTTAAGATGGAACAGAGCCTTACTCCCCTGTGTGCCTCTTGTGGGGTGAGGCACAGAATGAGGAGGCTACCAGGTCATTTCCAATCAAAGCAAAAGGAGGTGTTGGCACGTAGGGAAAGTTTCCAGCTGGGAGTCAGAAGGCCTGGTCCTTCACAGACTTGCTGGACTTGCTGCCTGACTTTGAGCCAGACTTGGCCTCTTTCCTTTCCGCCATCTGCTCAAGGGCAGCGACTGTCCTCGCCCGGCTTCACCCATCACCCCCTCCTCCCCTCCCTCCCAGAGCTGTTGTGCGTTCAGAGCAGATAATGGATGTGAGGCCCCGGGGTTCCGTGTAATGCTGATTAATATTAATGATTTGACATGCAGTTGCCTGCTGCTTCCGGGCCCTGGGCCAGCTGCCTCTCTGTGTAGGGGCCACAGTGGGAGAGTTGGACCCTTCCCCTCCCCTCTCCTAGCCCCCTCCTTCTGGGTACCTCCCACCATCCCAAGGGGTTTTTAACCCCACCTCTTCCCTCTTCACCCCCAGATTTTTTCCCTGGGCCACTGCCCCAACCAGGACTGGCTGGCCGTCGGCATGGAGAGCAGTAACGTTGAGATCTTGCACGTCCGCAAGCCGGAGAAGTACCAGCTGCACCTCCATGAGAGCTGCGTGCTGTCCCTGAAATTCGCCTCCTGCGGTGTGTCTGTCTGGGGGGAGGGCTGCCGAAATGGAACAGCGCTACACAGCAACCACAAAAACAGTCAAATCTGAATCTTAGATAAACAAATAATTTGTTAGCATAGCATGTCCCAAATGTACAGGGCATACTTACAATAAAAAGCCCCCAATTTGTTAGTACAGATACATCCCAAATATTGTGTGGGATATACTTACACTAAAAAAAAAGTTGTATTTTTTTAGCATGTCTTAAATATTGCAGGGGACATACATATTACTAAGAAAGTAACAACGATGAAATACTTGGGACACGTCGGCACTAGAGACCATTTGTGGTTCACTGAGATTGAAATGTGACTGGGCACTGTGTATTTTACCTGGCCAGCCCCCTCCTGGGGGCACCCGTTCCTGAAGACCAGATGAAGCCCTGGGGCCTTGACTTCGCCTCTGGAAAATTAAAGGACCAGGCCTCAGTTTCCTGAGGGACCTCATGTCCAAATGAGGGTAGAGGTGCCTTAAAGGGAGGGGCCAGGCCTGCAGCCCACGGCCCCAGGCTTTCTTCAGCCCTCCCTCCTCCAACCTCCACTCTCCTTCCCCCAGGGCGGTGGTTCGTGAGCACGGGGAAGGACAACCTGCTCAATGCCTGGAGGACGCCCTACGGAGCCAGCATTTTCCAGGTATGTGGCTGTCTGGAGCCCCGCCCCTGGCAGGGTGCTGTGTGCCTCGGGCCCCAAGGTGGCTGCACTGGTAGTGAAGCCCGGGGTCCTCCAAGCCTCTCACCTGCCAGTGGCTGCTGAAGTTGGGTGGTAAAGGCCAGCGCACAGGCCACACTGGCACACAGCCTGTTTCCCTTACTGTGGTGAACGATGACAGTCTGCGAGCTTCACCATCGTTAAGCAGTTTGGTGGCATTAAATATTCACACTGTTGTGCCACAATCCCCACCATCCATCTCCAGAACTTTCTCACCTTCCCAGTGACAGTTCATCCCCATGAAACACTAACGCCCCTTCTGCTCCCTCCCACACCCTGCCGGCACCCACCCTCTATCCCCCTCCTCCAGGGGCCTCCTATTTCCAGGGTATTATTTTGGGGATCATATTTCCAGGGTATTATTTTGCATATGGATATCCTTATTGCTTTCTAGAGTTATACTTTTAATACATAAGCATAAATAAAAGTTAAAAACATTGATATAGATATGGAATTAGTACTACCCACATATAATGCACATTCTTATTTTTCCCTAAAAAATTTGGGCAAAAAAGTGTGCATCATACACAGCAAAATAGTCTATTTGGACTTCAGGCGCAAAGCTTGTTGTGCCCCTAACAGGAAAAGTTTGCAGAGCGAGTGCTGCTGCAGGCCCCTCGCCCTGAGCTTAGCCCCCTGTGGTGCAGGCCGCATGGTCTGCCGGGTGCACATCCTCTCAGTGTCCTGGGAGAGGGCAGTGCTGCCGTAGCCTCTCATGGAGCCCAGATAACAGAGGTCCTGCCCTTTCCAGGAGCAGAAAGGACCCTCTGGGGAGCTCATGTTGCCCATTTGCTCCTGGCTCCCACTCTGGGCTCCTCTGCCCCAAGTCCCGTCCTGGCCCCACCTTGACTCTAGGCTCATCCTCAGAGGCTGGTAGGGGCCCCAGAGGCCTTGCCTTTCCCTCTGAAGTCATGCAGGTGGTCAGGAGCCTGCACCAGCTCCAGCAGTGTCAGCCACGCCTCATCTCCGCCTTCTCTCTCTCTCACTCCCCTCCCTGCTGCAGTCCAAGGAGTCATCCTCCGTGCTGAGCTGCGATATCTCGGGGAACAACAAGTACATCGTGACGGGCTCAGGGGACAAGAAGGCCACTGTGTATGAGGTGGTCTACTGAGAACCCCCTTCCTGCACCCCTGGGGGAAGGGTGTGCAAACCAGAGAGCCCAATACCCCCTAATCTCATGTCCTCCCCTGCTGGATATGGGGCTGGGTGGGCAGAGGGACTTTGGGAAAATAAATGTATTTATCACAGTTGCCTCCTGTCTTGGGCTGGGGACTGGGCACCACTGCTGTTCTTGGGCAGCTGCTATTGAAGGAAGGTCACTTTCTAGCTGTGTGACCATGGGTCAGTCTTTTTCCTGATCTGGACAAGACCACTTGTGCCTGAAATACTATGGGGATCTACTGTGAGAAATGGGTGTTGTATTGGGCAGTGTGGCTTGCTGTGTAACAAACAGCCCCCACAGTCTCAGTGGCTGAACACTGTACACATTTCTCAGGCAAGCCAAGGTGGCATGTGGGGCTCGACTCCATGTACACACTCAGGGTTCCAGGCTAGTAGGGGTCTCACTGCTTTGATACATAACTTCAGGGTCCAACAGAGCATGGAGACAGAAGGTACGTGGCTTTTAAATCCCTAGCTCAAGTTTCAGGTATGGCTTTTAGTGCCAGCACTTCGGACACTCACCCCAAGACGCTTCCTGCATACAGAGGGTTGGGGGTTACAGTGGAGCACGTGGCTGTCGGGATTGTAGTTATGTTTCCTTTGAGAGTCAGAGAGAACTCCTAAGGGCCTGGCAAATGGTGCCTGGCCTGCCGTCATCATCACAGCAAAAGTCCCAGTCCCAGAGGAGGTGGCAGCTAGGCCAAGAGCCAAAGGAGGACAAACAGCCACTTGGAAGGGTCACAAAGAGAGGAAATAGAATGTGCAGCCCTGGCTGGGGTGGCTCAGTGGATTGAGCACGGGGTTCGAACCAAAGTGTCACTGGTTTGATTCCCAGAGCATAGGCTAGGTCCCCAGTAGGGGGCATGTGAAAGGCAACCACACGGTGTTTCTCCCTCCCCATCTCTAAAAGTAAAAAATTTTTAAAAATGTGCAAAGACTTAAAGAGATAAGGAACCTAGCCTGGTGAAAACCAGGAGGGCGAGAGTCAGGTGGGTCTTCCTTTACTACAGGGGAGACAGTTCCAGATCAGCCTTGGGCAGAGGCAGCAGGGCAGTGGGAGCCAGAGGGGCGGGGCTGGCAGGGGTGGTGACACAGACCTGGGCGGCCACAAGGACATGGGTTAGAAGGGGCTGGAGGTCCAAGCAGGGGTGCTGCTGGGACCTTCTGGAGAGAGATGGCAGGGTGGCAGGGTGCCCACTTGAAACAAAAGCCACACTCAGGAAGAACTTCTGAAGGCACTCCATAGAGGAAAAGAATTCTGTGGTTAAGTTAAGGAGACCTGTTTGACACCACTTGGGGATGGTTCTTAGTCTGGGTCAGGTGAGCCAATGCTGATCTCGGGGCCCTACGGAGAGGGAGAAAAGCTCGGGTCTAGCCAGCCAGATGTCTTGGGAAGGACAGAACCCCATTTCCGATTGTCCGGGAAGTGGCAGAAAAACATGTTTCTGTGAGATGAGAGGTCAGCGCAGGGGAGCAGGAGGAAGTGCTCCATGTTCACTCCCCACAGTGGGGGTTTGTGGCTTCAATGGCTCAGAGACCCAGGCTGCAGGGAGTCCTCCCAAATCTCCACAAGACAGCCAGGGTGCAGGACACAGAACCAGACCAGCTCTGCTTTTTCCATTGCTTTATTACACATGACAGAGACCACCAACCCACCTGTCACGCCCCTGCACAGCCCCTCACGGGTGAGGAAAAGGACCCTGAGTTGAGATGACAGTAGTGAGCCCCTTAGTATGTGATCTGGTACACAGAGGCGTGGTCCCTGGACCCTGTGACAAGCAGACGGTTGTTAAGGGACACGTCACAGCACATGACAGAGGTGGTCTCCGGTACCTGGGAGGGTCAGGGAGCAAAGCAAGGGGGGCTCACTCACCCTTGCCCCTAACTGTGCCTGTCAGTTCAAATATGGTCCCTACGGGGCCTCTGCACCAGGCCTCCTGGGCTCAGCCCCTGAGTGCCCAGGATCCCTGAGCCCCGCCTGCCCCCGCCCGGCCCACCCTGGTACCTGGAACACCATGGCTCCCGTGGGCATGCTGTAGATGCTGACCAGGTTGTCCAACCCGACGCTCACCCACCACTGGCCTGGAAGGAGGCAGAGGGGCACCAGGTCAAAGCTGGCAGCTGAGGGCCACAGCCTGGGTACCTGAGAAAGGAGGGCGCCCCCACCTCCCACAGGTCCCCAAGGAGAACATCACTGAGAGGTTCCACCGATGAAGGGTAGAGGGGAGGAAGGGGCTCCGGAAGGGTCAGAAGGTGGGGGGTTCTGTGGGAGGCTGGGGGCCGCAGGGTACTCCACTACCCCTGGCCACTCACCGAGAGGGGAGAACTTGAGACCGAGGATAGTGCTGTCCTTACAGCCTACCATGTGTTTCTGGCCCCTGAGGGTGGGCTGTAGCCACTGCTGGCCATTGGCTGTGCCCACCAGAACCCAGTCCTCCTGGGGACTGGGGGACAGACTTATTATCTGGGGATAGGTGGCAGGAAGGAACCTGGGTCAGGGACCTGCCTGGCCCAGAAGATGGACAGGGGCACAGGGACCAACCCCAGGTGCCGACCACCTGCCCATTTCCTGGCTGCAAGGCCCCAACAAGCAACTTCACATCTCCAGTTTGCCCATCTATAGAATGGGTTGGTCCCCTCTACTTTATGGGATTATCACAAAGACTATGAAAGCATCCAATGCTATATGGGCAACTGGAAAGAATATTTCTAATGATTCCCATTCCCCCCAGCATCACTGAGACTTGGGGTACCACTACTCCCCAGCATCTATCTCCTTCTCTAGCCTGAGGCCCAGCTGCTACCTGACTATGAAGTCTACATCCCAGCCTGCACACCTGAGACTCAAATTGGTACTCCAGGGGCTCCTTGGCAGTCCTCAGGTCCCAGCACCGCAGACAGGCATCCAGCCCCCCAACCCAGATGTTCTGGTCTTTGATAGCGATGCTCTTGGCTCCATTCGGGGGGCCTGGCAGGTCCCTGGCCAGGAGAGGCATCAGGAGGAGATTGAAAAGTGAGACTCTGAGCTTTGGGCCTAAGGAACATCACCTGCCCAACCACCTTCAGTTGACAGGCGGGGAAACTGACGTAGAGAGAAAAGTACCAAGACTGAACTTTGAGAAAACAGCCCAGCCAAGATTTGAACCCGGGTATTCATCTCAAATCTGAGTTCAAGCAGGCAAGGGGCTTTAACCTTGAGACTGCTGAATCCCTGCTCAGCAGACAAGGTTGGAAGAAGTTCTCAGGGCAACCCCACCCACCCTGGGGCCACACCTAACCACACTCTGGTCCCGCAGGTCCCAGATCCTGACGGTGCCATCAGTGAAACTGGCAAAGGCCAGGCTGTCCTCCAGGGTGGCAGCCAAGGCCTGGCAGGTGAGACTCGCAGAGGGCAGCTCATCTCTCACGTGCAGGGAGGGTGCCATCAGGTCCCACACGCTCACACCGGGCAAGTTGTGGCCACCCGTCAGCAGGGCGGTGCTGTTGGGGAACAGCAGGCAGGTGCGCAGGTAGGCCCTGCGGGCCTGGGATGGGCAGAGGCACTAGTGAGCTCTCTCCCCTGCGGGCAGCTCTTCCTGCTCCCGCAAGCCCCACCCTCTACAGCCAGCCCCACGCTCACCGGCACGCACAGGTGGCTTTCAGGGAACCTCTCCTCCTCCATCTGGTGGACCAGGCTCCACACCTTGACGCCACCTCTGCCGCAGGTGAACACGTGCCGAGTGAAGCTGCTGACTGCTGTGGCCAGCACGGGCTCCCCATGTTTTAGCGTCCGCCTCTTCTCCATTCGGTACGGGACAGCCACCTTCTTGAACTGCCAGGGCAAGGCATCTGGCCCCTTCCACGTGTCTTCAAAGTCCTCGGGGTCCCAGCATCTTAGGAGGGGAGACCGCAGGGTTACCAGTCTGCCTAGAGGGAGGCGCCCATCAAGCCCTAGAGGGGCTTCATTCTTTTTCACATGTAGGGTTTTTTTCCTCAGGCCTTCTTTCCTAACTCTACTCTACTCCCCCAATTTCCTACCCACACTCCTCCAAGTATTCTCCCTCTTCCATAACCAAACACCACTCCTTTCTGCCTGAATGCTTTGCCCCCCCCCGGATGATGATGGCTCATCCTTCAAAGTCCTGGCCACTGTGCCCCTTCCTCTAGGAAGGCTGTCCGTCCCACATCTGGGCTCCCCCAGATTCAGACCACAAGGCCGACATAGCCCTACGTCGCCCACTCTGACATTCTGTGTGAGTCCCTTCCCCACATCCCCTGGACCCAGTCTGGTTATGGGGGGCGGGGCAGTGATGCTGGCATGAAGTCGCACATCCCTACCCAGACCCCTCATCTCTAGTTTCTGAGGACAGCAATGTGGGAAGGGTGAGGACATGCCTTCGCTTTGGGTCCCCTCCACCTCCTGGTGACAGAGCTACAGACAGGAGGTGTGGTTCCAACACTTACATGGGCTTCAGAAAGGAGCAGCCTCTCCCAGAAGGCTCCTGCAGGAGGATCAAGGTCACAGCTAAGCCAGGCTGGCTCTCTCTGCCCAGACCCCCAGACTCTGAGTAGGAAGGAGGGTACCAACTGAGGCCTGGGTCTCACCTGGGCCATGCAGGAGAGTGTCATCCCTGGTGCCATGTCTGGTTCTGTGCTCCCTTCTTGGGAACCTGCAGGGGGGATGCGGAAGAGCGCAGATGGGCTGAGAACTGGGCAGAGACAAGAGCGGATCGGCAGCAGGCACAGCCCCCCCGGAACAGGCTGACTGCCCCCCTCCCACTGGGATTACCCAAAGCATCTTCGGTGTAGGGTTCTGCTCCAAAGTAGCCCGATTCTGGGTCCTGGCTTTCCTGCCCATAAGAAACACGGAGACCTGGTCAGACCAGAGGACCTGCAAAAGGTCATCTTAGAACCAGAAAACCTTAAGGAGGCCCAGGCAGTGAGGACGGGGCTACACAAGTGCCCGAGTCCTCCTGTCCATAAAGAGTTGGAGACAGTCCAGAACGCAGTCCTGGCTCTGTGGAGGGCGTGAAAAGGCTGAGGGTGGAGGAGGTGGACTGACCCCACAGAGATTTGAATGCCACCACCTGGGAGACCAGCCCGGATA